CTGTTTAGGTAATATGCTATCTTGACTCCCACTAGGTTCCTATAAGTAACATCCCCCTGGAGCTGGGGTCACCATGGTAATGGGTGTTTGAGTTGTTTTTTTCAGGAATTGAACCCCTTGTCCACTTCAGGCCAGATTATGAGACCACCAACCCATCAACTGTGCCCACGCAGACAAGTATCCGATAAGCGACCTTTTCACTGCAAGAGGTTGGAACTCCACCCTCAGGGCATGCTAAAGCCGCCATTCTGTGAACGTGCTTCCTATGAAGAGGCATGAAGCCTGACTACGCTTGCACAGATCATCAATTACCTCATCTCTCCTCACCTCCAATCATTTCAGACCACCTTGCCCCCACCCCATAAATATCCCTGAGGCCCTATTTTCCGGGAAGCGGATTTGAGATTCATTCTCCTGTATCCATACTTGGCTGTCTTGTGATTAAACCCTTTCTCTCTGCAATCCCATCATCTCAGTGTCTGGCTTTCTGGGCAGTGGGCAAAAACAGACCTGGTGCGGTAACAATGCAAAAGAAGTTGTTAGTGCCTTTGGGTTGACTAACTCCTAGCGATCCTGTGTACAGCAGGGTAGAACCCTGCACGGGTTTTTTGCCCCATCCTCTCACCTGGTGCTGTATCAAACAGTGCTCTGCTACTTATTCACAGGGTTTTCATGGCTAATATTTTTGGAAGTGGGTGGGTGTCCAGCTCCTTCTTCCTAGTCTGTCTTAGTCTGAAAGCTCCGCTGAAACCTGTCCACCATAGGTGACCCTGCTGGTATTTGAAATACTGGTGGCATAGCTTTCAGCATCACAGCAACACACAGCCACCACAGTATGACAACCAACAGACAGGTGGTGTGGTTCCCTGACCGGGAAATGAACCCGGGGTGCTGTGGTGAGAGTGCCAAGTCTTGACTAGACCACCAGGGCTGGCTGGGAAGGAAGAGATGAAAATAATTATTAAAGCAATTGATATGACTATACAGTTTGGGTGGAAAATACAGATTAACAGAAAAATGAATGGAAGAATAGTTCTAGGTCAACCCATTGCTGTTGCTTTGGCCAGAGATATTTTGCTATGTAGGGATTTTTTAGGGTAACTTTTTAGTTAGATATAATTTTAAACTTAAAAAAAGTTGCAAGAATAGTAAATTTTCTTTACTCAGATTTACCTATTTACAATTTACCTCATTTGACTTATCTTATAATCATATTTATCTCTAAATATACATATACAATTCTTTTTGTTCTGAAACATTTAAGAGTGAATCGAAGCCATTGTGTCCCTCAATACTCAAATACTTGAGTGTATATTTCCTAAGAATAATGATTTTTTTATATAGACAATTATCAAGATCAGGAAATTTAACATGAATCTAAGACTATTATCTAATCTACTATCCATATTCAAATTTTACCTATTGCCCCAGTAACGTTCTATATAACTACTTTTTCCCCTAGGTCAGCATCTAACCCAGGATCACACATTGCATTTAGTTGTCAAGTCTCTTAGTCACTTTAATCTGGAAAAGTTCCTCAGTCTTGGTATTTCTTGACCCTTAGATTTTGGAAGAGTATCAATCAGTTATTTTGTAAAATGGCCCCCAATTTTTATTTTCCTTATGTTTCCTCATGGGTACATTGAGATTATGAATTTTGGGCAAGAATACCACAGAATTGGTAATATGTCCTTCTCCATATCATGTCAGGAGGCACCTCACGTTGGTTTATCTCCATATTGTGATGACAGATTGGTCCACATGGGGTAGACGGTGTTTGCCAGGTTTCTCCTGTAGTGTTATTTTTTTTCTTACTAATTAAAAAGTAATCTGTGGAGTGATACTTTGAGACTATTTAAATATCTTGTTTCTCATCAAACTTGGACTCCCTAGTTTTAGCATCCATGGATGAATTTCTAACTCCATTGTTCTCCTGTATTAGCTGCATTCTACTGTAAGGAAGAGATTTCCTTTTTCCTTCATTTACTTGTTTGTATTCAAATGGACTCATTGATTCTTTTATTTTAACTGATTTTTTTAATGAGTAATGATCCATTATTATATGGTAGGATTTTTAACCTCATTTCTGATTCTTGCAATATGTGAGTTGTCATACAGAATTGCTACCTTCAATTCTTTCTTAAGTTTTTAGGCAGGCCATCCTACATATTTTTGATACCAGACTCTTATGCACTCTAAAAGTATTCCCCACAAAAAAAACCTTCCCAGACTAAAGTTTATTTGATCAGTTTCCTTATGGGCTTGATCTAGTCTTGTCTTAGCCAACTGTTTCCTCTGTTATTGTTTATTTATGTAAACATTATAGATAACATAGTCTTATGTTTGCAAGTTCATGTGTGTGTCCATGTGTGTTGCATTAACTCACATATTACAGATTAACTAAGGAGACCTTAGTTCATGGTTCTACAGTAGATCATGTGATTTAGAAATTGCAAGCTCCTGTGCCCACCAACAGCAAATTTATAAACAAAGTTAGCTGCCTCAGGAATCCATAATTTTGAATTTTTTTTTTTAATTGTATTTTTTTTTTTTCCCCCAAAGCCCCAGTAGATAGTTGTATGTCATAGCTGCACATCCTTCTGGTTGCTGTATGTGGGCCAGAAGCAGTGCGTCACTGCGCACCTGGGATCCGAACTCGGGCCGCCAGCAGCGGAGCTTGCGCACCTAACCGCTAACCCACGGGGCCGGCCCTGAATTTTTTTAACTTCATGTTCAACAAAAGAAATCTTGCCTTGGCAAAAGGTAGAGCTAAGAGTGATGACCAGTCACCTTTTTCTTCTTTCCCCATATTTAAGATAGTAATCAGCATTGTAGCCAGAATCCTATGTATGGGGAAGAGCAAGACTATGGCATCTCACCCATCAGAAGTCAGATCCCCATCAAAGTCTTAGGATGTTGTGTCTAGGAGTTCATCTATTCAACAAATATCTATTAAAGATCTACTATGTGTCAAGCTCTGGGGTAGGCAGTGGGCATATAGCAGGAACCAAGCAGACAGTCCCTGCCTCAAGAAACTAGCATTCTAGTGGGACAGATAGACAACAAATAAATATGATCCTATATCAGCTGGTACTAAATGCTATGGAAAAAAAATAAAGCAAGATGAGGGAGTTAGATATTGATGGGAGAGGTTGTTTTTTTTTTTTAATAGAGAGTGCTTAAGAAAGAAAAGTGAGATAGTAATATTTAAATAGGGACCTGAAGGGGTGGGGGTGAGAGGGAGGTGAGCAGAGGGAGAGCCTTATAAGCAGCAGGAACAGCAAATACTGAACAGCAAATCCTGGCCAGAAGGTGGGAGGGTGCTTGTTGTGTCTGAGCCTGAGCCTTGGGGCACTGCCATGTTTAGAGACGGTGAAGATGAAGAATCAGCAAAAGAGAAGTAGTCTGTGAGGTAGGAGAGGAAAGAGAAAAGGTACTTGGATGCCAGGTGAAGAACTTGTTTCCAGGAGGAGGGAGTAACTAAGTGAAATGTTGCTGATAGGTCAAGTAGGATGAGGACAGAGAACTGTCCAACTTGGGAGATCCTGATGAGCTGCGTCAGTGGAGTGGTGGGGACAAAATCCTCATTGGAATAGGTTCAAGAGAGAATACAGAGTCCAGATGACTCTTGGAGGATTATGTTCTAAAAGGGAGCAAAAAAATGGGATGGAATCTAAAGAGTAATATGGGACCAAGGGAGGGATTTTTAAAGATGGGAGGTATTATTGTATATTAGTAGGCTGAAGGGAATTATCCAATATACAGGAAATAATTGTTGATGCAGAAAAGAGGGTAGATTAGCAGAAGCAGTATCCTTGAGCACACAGCAGAGTTGTATGCAGAGACGGATTGAAGTAGGAACAAGACCAGCATCCACAGTGTCAGGAGGGAGGCTGAGTATGTCATCGAGTTAGCACCGTGAACAGAGAAGCAGGTAAAACCAAGCAGGCCACTAGCACATCAGCTTCCTTCTTCCGCTCTTGCTTTGATTTCTCTCCTTGCTTCTGGCATCTGTAGATTTCCATTTCTTTGACCTTCATTTTTTTTTTTTTTTTTTTTTTTGGTTAACGTTTCTGTGGTTTAGAGTGGGGGGGGAAGCAGAGCGGTGCTATCCTTGAGTTAGTCCAATGTGCTGTGTTGCTGGAAGAGAAATTAAAAATAGATCCTTTGAAAGAGTTTAAGAAGACTTGATGTTATGTTAGAGAAGAAAAAAATACAGAGAGCTTTTAATATCAAAATTGAAAGTATCAGTATTACAGTGTATGTTAAATGGTAACTATTTGAATGTTTAGAAGAATTCTCTAGCCTTTTAATTATTTAAGTCTCCTCAGTTAAAGGAAATTAAAAAGTGAAAGGACTCATCTGGGTAAATAAGCATAGTTGAAAATATCTCTGGAGATGTTAGTTTAAGCTTTGTTGTGAACTCTTTTGTTCAAAATAAAAAAATATATTTACCTTTTTCCTGATTGTAAAAGAAATACATGTTTGTGGTAAAATATTCAAACAGTACAGAAATGTATACAGTGAAGTCAACTCTTTTTACCCACCCTGCCCCAACCCATCCCACCTTTCAGAGACAACCACAATTAATACTTTGTAATAAGTTTCCAGATTTTTCTATGTATATTTGATTAGTATTTGCTTCCAACTTAGCTGTTTGATCTCTTTTCAACAGAAAACCAAATAAAAACTGCCTGCTGTTTAATCAAATTTGCAAATATTTTAAACTTAAGGGCTTTATAAATGCATATAATTTGAATTATGCAAATTAGAACACCCTGTCTCAGAGGGACTTCTTAAGAAGTACAGGACACAAAACTGACCTTGGTTTCAGAATTAAATGTTTCTTTGATATTGAAATAATGAAATGCCAGTCTTAACTTTTAACTCATGGGTTTTCATGATCACTGGGCAGTAAGGACAATGCAGTTTTAAAGATTGTTTGACTTATTTGATGAAATATGTATTTCTACTTAGCACATTTTTGGGTACTTTTATAGGAAAATGAGGTACTAAGAGAGAGGCATGAAGCTGTGGATCACAGTTCTCAGCATGAGGAAAATGAGCACAGAGTGTCAGCCCAGAAGGAGAAATCACTGCAGCAGAAGAATGAAGATGAAGATAAAATAGCAGATAAACCTGACTGGGAGGCAGAAAAGACCACTGAATCTAGAAATGAGGTGAGCATGCCAGAATATCCTAGCCTTACTAACATTTTGGCTTTAATGTAGATTTTGTGTGTGTGTGTATGTGTGAGGAAGATCAGCCCTGAGCTAACATCTGATGCCAATCCTCCTCTTTTTTCTGAGGAAGACTGGCCCTGAGCCAACATCTGTGCCCATCTTCCTCCACTTTATATGGGACGCCGCCACAGCATGACTCGACAAGCAGTGCGCCGGTGTGCGCCCGGGATCTGAACCAGCGAACCCCGGGCCACCGCAGCGGAGTGCGCGCATCTAACCACTTGTGCCACCGGGCTGGCCCTAATGTAGATTTTATGGCTTTTGACAGTTTGTGTTACAAATGAATTTTGCATATAAGTACTCTACTATAAGCAAATCTGATATATGAAAATAGATATTTCTTTTAAATTGTGGGAGTGGTTATTTGATTTACAAAAGAATCAGCCGATAGAATTAGTTTTTTCTGGTTAAACTCACCTCCAGGAAGTTGCTAGCCGGTTTTGTTAGTTGTGTTTGCCATGGCAAGGGATAAAGAAATGGCTGGCACCCTGAACCCAGGAATCCTCAACCAGCTACCCACAGAGACAGCCAGGTTGGCTAAGTCTGGGAGAGCAAGCCAGAGGACGCTACAGGCAAATCACCCTCAATACCACCTGGGGCTTGGGCTCCAATCCTTGCTTAGTCTCCTGGCGGACCATGCTGAATCGGCAGCCAGGAGCCCATTTTGTACCTCTGGCCAGGCCCACTGGGACAGCCTCCTTGGCTCCTCTATGTCTAACCACACTCCTGAGTGGTGAGAGAGGTATAGAAAGATGAACTCCAGGAGCCAGGCTGAAGGGATGGATTCTTCCTACAGCTGTGCTTCTCCCTTCTTTTATTTGGGCCATACTCTGGTTTCTACTCAGCCCTGCTGAGGTCCTAGCCCACAACCCTGGCAAACAGATGCTCCAAAGACCTTTAACCAGGAGGAGTTGGGGCTGTGCCTTGAACACCCTTAGAGGGTAGAGAGTACCATGCCTTGGCCCTTCTCAGACAGCCCATCATCACTGTACCGTTGTCATGTAATATTACATGGAACATTACATGATCAATGGAGTGAAATCAGAAAACTGCTTTGCTGCCTTTGCCCACTCACCCCTTCCAGCCTGTTCTAACCTGTTCTAGGGGAACTAGTTCTTCCCTACACCTTGGGTGAAATCTAGGGAAGGCCTTATAACTTCAAGATTATCAGATTAAAATCTCTCTGGTCAGTGTAATTCTCAAAAACTCTGAACTGAAATTCAGCTTCTCCCCTCCTCCTGTCTCATCTGCTGCAGCAGCCTCAAAGGCTGGCTTAAGTGGAAAAGGGAGTGTGTGGCCTAGTTCTCTATTTCTCCAAGTCTTCCTCCTTTGCTCAGTAGGCTGTCTTCTCTGGGGCTGAGGGTGTGGTGGGTGGTAATGTTCAGGAAAGGTGTTACTTGACTGGCAGCGATCTGACGCTGGTTTCCCTTGACTGTAGGATGTATTTAAAACTACTTGTCAGATGGGCACTTTGATTTCATAGGTTCTTTGGAGACTCTTTCCCCACAGCTGGGAGTCGTTCATTTGCCCTTCTCTTGACAAGGACAGATGCACCTCCACCTCCAGGTAGCCTTTAGGAGTCCTTCCTGCATTTTCAGTGGCATATACCTCACCTGTCCAGGCGGCCCTCTCAACCACATGCTGGCTCTCCAGCAGCTGTTCCTGGAAACATGACCCTCTTCCCCCTTCGTCAGTCCAATCACTTCCCTAAGTGCAGCCCTTGCTTGGCCTCTTGCCCTTTTATATTTCTCAGGCAAGCTCTGGTTCTCAGGCAAGCTCTGGACACTCTTCTCCTGTGTTCCCCAAACTGCAGAGAACACACACCACGTTTCTAAGTGGTCTCCTTGAGTCCCTTTTTGCTAGTCTTCTGGTGAGGGGGTGGGGGGCTCACCCCAAGGAACCCTCCCATTTTCACTCCCTAGCCTCTGAGGCTTCAGAACCCTTTTATAACCTTCAATGGAGGGAGGGCCCCATTGCAGCTTCTCATTCCACTTGGAAATGCATAAGTGTCTGCACCTGTCTGTGCTTTTACCCACTGGCATTCTCCCTAGACCTTGGCTTTCCTCATAACTCATGGACCCTTGGTGTGGCTTTACCCCATGCACTCCTCTCCCCCGACCCCACACACCATACTATCATATCAATGCCAGTGGACTTTTATATTAACTAAATACTAAATACTACTATTTATTTTGAAGGAGACATTTCAGCCCCCTTTCCTGAGTACCTCACAGTCATCTTTTTTGAGGGAGATATTTTTATCACCGTCTACCACTTCATTGTATATAGATTTACGCTATTGGTTCATTTTTCTTCTGGGTATGTCTTTGCCTTTACTCCCTCACTGGGCTTCCCAGAAAAGCAGGAACTGTATTTTCTACTTCTTTGAATTACTTGTAGTAACTAACTCACTGCTAGACACATAGTAGGCACTCATTAAGTACTAAGGAAGAGATAGATAAAGTAGGGAGCTTCCTTGGAGAATTTAAAATATAATTTGAATTAGGACAAACATCATTTTGGATAAAACTTTTCAGAAACACATCAATCACTCAAAGCAAGGGATCTGTGCCTTAATTCATAATTATCAGGCTTGGCTCCTCATTTTGTACCTCCATGTTCCTGGCCTGTGTCAGTCTTGTTTAGTTAGCATTTACACATTTTTGTGTTCTGCAAATTACACATTTGGCGCTTCTGACAATATCTGTCTGCTCTTTTACTGAGCTGTTACTTAGTAGGTGCTCTTACAGTTTGTTGAAGTAAAGAAAGCAGAAATGGGTTGTGTGTGATCACAGTGAATCAATGGCATTTATTTCCATTTTTGGGGTGACAACCATGGAAGAATATGTAGGATGACTGACATAATTTGCTCCTTAACAGTGACATCTTCTAGCCCCACTGGAGTCCTACACTTAGACTACCGGATATTAATGAAGAAAAATACGCAGTATATGTAGGTTAACTGGTCTGAAAACATTTTCTTCTCACTAAAGACGAGTTTATATTAATGTTTAATCTTTTAAAAGATATGTCTTATAAATTTAAATCTGTGTCCACCGTATTCTTTGAATATTCCTAGTGATCTCTGTTCAAAATGCAATGAATTCTTCACCCAAAACAGAACTGTATGTTCACATTTTATGTGAAGACTTAGGAAGGAGAATTATGAGTCTGACTTAAGAAAACAGAAAAGGCCTATTTCCTGGCAATCTAAATTGAGCTTAAAGTATGGAATACGTTTCATGGATTAACTGTGAAAATGGCTTAGTTGTCCATTTTATTTTTATTTATTTATTTATTTTTTTGTGAGGAAGATCAGCCCTGTGCTAACATCTGCCAATCCTCCTCTTTTTGCTGAGGAAGACTGGCCGTGGGCTAACATCCATGCCCATCTTTCTCCACTTTATATGGGATGCTGCCACAGCATGGCTTGCCAAGCGGTGCGTCAGTGCGCGCGCGGGATCCGAACCCGCGAACCCCACGCCGCCACAGCGGAGCGCACGCACCCAACCACTTGCGCCACCGGGCAGGCCCCTTAGTTGTCCATTTTTCTGCAAGATCTGTACCTAGCTGAACAGATAAAATTAAGCAATTAGATTTAGAAATGGATTAACTGAGTTCTATGAAACCAAATGCCTCAAAATTGTTCTGAATAATTTCTTAAGTGTGGTAGACAGAACTCTGGTGCATAGACTTCAAACAGAATGCTGTTCACAGTTTAGGCCCTCAAATAGAAGGCACATGCTGAAGAGAAGAAAATGAAGGGCTTTTTAACAGAGGTGAGAGCAGGTTTAAGGGAAACACCAAGGAATAGGAAGGCTCCCAGGGACCAGCAGCAACATGAAGCCATTACCACCATCAGGACAGAAGGGAACCTGGGGAGAAATAGAGCTCAGTGAGAACTGGAATTGATGCGAGACTCAGCAGAAGCTGTTGTCTCTAAGGCATTCTATCATTCCTCCCACCTCCTATCTCTTGCCTCTGTCTTCTGTGGACCCAATCAGAGGAATGGATTGGTAGGGCTTAGCCCCTCCACCTGCCATCTCCTGGGGCACTGGAGAGGAGGAAACAGGCAAAAGGTTGAATGAAACACATATTTGACTAGCCAGAAGGATCACTCTATAATTCATTTTAAGCAGAATCATCTTCATACCCTTAACTTCTGTGTTCTAAATACTTTCTTTCTACAAATAATGTTATTTATCCACTATTATGGATTGTTTTCACAGGAATACAGATTTGTGCAGATGTTATCCATTCTCATACACTTGTGACCATCAGCAAATTTTGGTCAATGGTTGGCCAAGACTAATGAATCAAATTTGGGGTCATTAATAGAACACTTCTGAAATTTCATAAGAAATTAGTAATCATTTTAAATAATTCAATTGGTGAAGAAGTCCACTATCCACTAAGAACGTGTAATTTACCAGTGAAAGAAAAGCAGGAAATCTTATCACTTTAGCTTAAGTAGTCCTGTAGCATCCATAGGCAAAGAAAGCCTTGTGGCTTTGTATTATGGGCCTTGAAAACATGGCTTTATGGAACCCAAGGTATTTGGTTCTATAGAAAAAGAAACCAAGTATTTGTACACAGCTACTCCTCAGTGCAGCTGGTCTGAATCTTCAAAAAAGGAAACCCTGAAGTAAAAAGTTAGGGGTGGGAGTGATGCACAGCACAAGTCAGGAATGTGAACCAGCTAGCACGTAAAGATACCCCCTATGACACACCAAAAGTAAATCTTCGATAAAACATCATGGATAGTACTTTTAAGTGTATGGCAGAACTCAAAAGCAAGAAAGAGATTCTACAGATATAAGAAACAAAGAGGGAACTGAAATCCAGAATTTAAGATTAATCAGGCACCAAAGCTGAAGAGCCCCAAGGAGGAACTGGATCCAGATGTCATGACAGAGACTGGGGTTGAATGGATGGGAAATGAGGTGTCAAGCCCATACCTAGGGGTACCTGAGTTCCCTGCTTAAAGCTCAGAACATTTAAAGGCTCTTCTGTTCAGAAAATGGGGACTAGGACAATTATAGCTACCAGCTAGTAGACATAGCAAGGAAGCTGTCTATCCACCCTTTAGAAACCAGGACCCCAAAGCCAGATGTAGAGTCTGAATCCACACTACCATCACAATCAGGAATCTTGAGACAAGAAAGCAAGGTCTAGAAAATGATATAAAAACTGGTACTTGCAGAGGGAAACATAGAACTGCCTTATAGTTAGTTTGGTAACCCTTGTTATGTGGGATTCCTACAGAAATAGCTCCCAACAAAGATGAGCTTACCTTTAATTATTTCTAACAGGAGTCCTAGGAGAGACTAGGAAGTATCAAGAAGCAGTATTTAAGGAGTTTGTGGCAAAATATTTCCAAAATTAAAATGATCTTGACTCAGATTAAAGGAGTACAGAGTCCCAAGCAGAGTAAATAAAATCCAGTCCCAGATATATCAAAGTGAAATAGCAGGACAAAAAAGACTTAAGTAAAAAAAATTTTAATAACTGGAAAAAAAGATTGGCTATAAAATGACTGATAGCAAACATGAATAGTAACATATGCCATGAGACAAAGTACTGAGGGAAAACATTAAACCTGATCTTACCAGATAAACTGTCACTTAAGCATGAAGGCAAAATAATTACAGGTTACAAAAAACTAGAGAGTAGAGCTAAAAAAGAACTATCCAAGTTATTTCAACAAGAAAGAAACTAAACCCTGAAGGCAGAAGATGAAGCACTGATGAGTCAAGTGGGTAAAACATTTTGGTAAATCTAAGTATGTATTTAAAGTTACATAATTTTGTAACCAATTTGGAGGGTCGCTGTTGAAGGGCAAAATAAGGTGGAACCGAAAATTCTAGCCAAAAGTTATATGGAAGATGGTTAGGGGAGGAATTGGGGTGGAGTTTGGAGTTCAAGGTTTTTAAGGATAATAAAATATTGAGTACTAAAAAGAACTGAATGTAAAAATTCCAAAATAAGGATAAAAATCCAGCATGGAGATATGACTTGGTTATCCTTTCAAAATTAAGCCTAAAGCCCCAGGCAGCCAATTCAGTCTTTTAATTTAAATTAATGATGCATGCACCTTCTGTTTTTCTAGAGACATCTAAATGGAACAGACACATCTTTCTCTCTGGAAGACTTATTTCAGTTGCTTTCATCACAGCCTGAAAATTCACTGGAGGTAATTGGAACTTTGGCTTTTATCCTTGCAGGAAAGTATCTGCACTGACTTCGCTGAATAAATATAACTTTACCTGGATGACATAATTTAAATATTTATGTAAATATCTAGTATGTTGTTATTTAAACACACATTTAGGATTACTTTTTATAGAAAACTTCAACTTTGGAGAATTAATTAACAGAATATGTATACTGTTCCTCCTTCCAAATAATAACAGATATAATCAAATTATATAATTCATATTGAATCAAAATGGCAGTAAGCATTTGACAAACTAAGGCATAGCTTTATTTTTCTGGTAGCACTTGTGTCTTGATTGTACTTTATAATGCTGGTCTGATTTGCTTAAAAAGAAAAAAAAGACACCCCACCCCCGACCCCCAATCCCCTTGCAGACTACTTCACTATAGCTGTTATTACCCATGACCCTCCACAATGTTGCCAATAGCTAGGATGAGAATTGCATCTTATAAAGCAGTAAGTTACGGTAAGACGTTAGATTTAAAAACAAGGCCTTTTATACTACTAACCTTATCAACTTTTTAAAATTTCCATGATACTCAAAGAATAAATCTTTCAAGTATAGCATATTCCAATTTGGGCTCACATCACATATTATATTGCCTATACTAGTGAACTAGGGAAAGTTATTCATGGCCAACAGCATATTCCTGTTTGTGGAGAGGAACTGACAAAAGTGAGGAAAGAAATGTTGTATTAGATACTAGAAGTGCTATTGAAATAGGGTTTTATTTAAAGTGTTCTCCCTTCCTTTTTCAGGGCATCTCACTGGGAGATATTCCTCTTCCAGGAAGTATCAACGATGGCATGACTTCTTCAGCACGTTATAACGTAAATCTTAGCCAGGCTGTAAGTCATGATGTGAATCTCCAGGAGGCCATGTTGCTGTGTCCTGACAATACATTTAGAAGGGATCAAGTAGCAAGGACTTCACAGCCACAGGAACCATTTCTGCAGTTAAATTCTCATACCACCAATTCTGAACAAACCCGTCCTGGAACTAACTTGACAGAATTTCTTCCATTTGTTGACAATCAGATGAGGAATCTAACAAGCGAAGACTTTTTACATGACCTCGATATAAACATATTTGATGAAATAAATTTAATGTCTTGGGCTACAGAAGAAGGTTTTGATGCAATGGAAGTTTCTCAGCTTTTTGAAAAACCAGATTCTGATTCTGGGCTTTCTTTAAATTCAAGCCACAATAGCACCTCTGTCACCAAGTCTAATACCTCTCACTCTGTGTGTGAAGGTGCCATAGGTTATAGTGACCTTGAATCTCTTTCCCACCATGACTTAGAAGGGGCTGTGGGAGGCTGCTACCCAGAGCCCAGTAAGTTTTGTCCCATGGGTCATAGGAGTGACTCTGGTTTTCATGGGGACCTTGCATTTCAACATGTATTTCATAACCACACTTACCACTTACAGCCAAGCGCTCTAGAATCCAATTCTGAACCTTTTTCACGGCATGGAAAGCCACAGAAATTGAGTAGGTACCTCAATGACACAGACAAAAATTTAAGCCGTGATGAACGGCGTGCCAAAGCTCTGCATATTCCTTTTTCTGTAGATGAAATTGTCCGCATGCCTGTTGATTCTTTCAACAGCATGCTAAGCAGATACTATCTGACAGACTTACAAGTGTCGCTCATCCGTGATATTAGACGAAGAGGGAAAAATAAAGTTGCTGCTCAGAACTGTCGTAGGCGCAAACTGGACATAATCTTGAACCTAGAAGACGATGTATGTAACTTGCAAGCAAAGAAGGAAACCCTTAAGAGAGAGCGAGCCCAGTGTAACAAAGCTATTAACATAATGAAACAGAAACTGCACCACCTTTATCATGATGTTTTTAGTAGGTTAAGAGATGATGAAGGTAGGCCAGTCAATCCAAACCAATATGCTCTTCAGTGCAGCCACGATGGAAGTGTTTTGATTGTACCCAAGGAACTGGTGACCTCAGGCCACAAAAAGGAAAACCAAAAGAGAAAGAGGAAAAGAGAAGAAATTGAAGATGGAGTCCGTTAATATGCATAAAGCAGTAACGTTCAGAAACTGAGGTTCAGCTCAAGTGTTATATCTTTTAAGTACTCCTACTTATCATTCAGTTAAAGCTATGAAGCTTACATGGACAAAAATTTGGGACTTGAAGATCAGACTTGTAGGAAATTTGGGGGAAATCACTTTTCATGAAGCTCTACTACTGCATTACATGCATGATTCATAAGTACAAAGAATAAGTACATATGTACAAAGAATAAGGTAAGGTGACATGAAAACTAAGATGGTCACTTTAAAGAGAGCAAACACTGGATATAATTACCTTAAAATGTTATTTTTTATGACTTGAAATGCACAGTAGCCTTAACCTTTTCATTTAGTTTGTTAGCACTGAAGTATAGTGAGCTTTCCCAAAGGTATTTTACTTTGGTTCTTATGAATACTTGTAAATTATAACCTTTTCTTTCTGTGCAAATAAATTTTATATATAACAAGTTAACTTTTCCCTTTTATACAGAAATTCTAAGCAAATTTACTTGGGGTATTTTTCCTCCAAAATACTAGCAAATAGGACAGTGCAGTATTTATTTTTAAAATTTGCACAAATTGATCCAACTCAAGCCATACTGAAGTCAACATACATTATATGAAATAAAAGGAAGGTGCCAAAAACAAAAATGGGGCTTTAAAATATTAGGGAGATAGGCCAGCCTGTAAGAGATGGTCTCACATCTACAACACTGATGTCTCAAAAACTCATGTGAAAACATTACAAGCCATACAGGAACACACAAGAACAAACCAACAGTAAGGAAACCGTTAGTAGATGAGCACAGACTTGACAACCAAAGAACTGGAAATACTGGAACCATATGACAGATTTTTAAATGCTTAACAGTAACAAAAAAGATAAGTATTTGTTAAAAACAAGACAATAGGAAACCAGAGGGTTTGAAAATGCGCTAAAAACATAAAAGCAGTCAGTCCTAGAATTTAAAATGAAACCTCAATGAATTTACTGGAACAATAAACAAGAAATTTTTGAAGATAGTTGCCCCAGGCTGTGAAGGTTGGTGAACAATCAACGTGAATACTGTTAGTTTGATTTCAAAATTTGGAGAATCGAAGTTGTCAGATCTTATTTCTGCCATAAGAATCATTTCCTACATAGAGTATCAGAAGTCAAGGTATTATCTTGGGTTACAGAAATAGTATTTATACAATCTAGATTTTTACAATCAATTTTTTTCCATTTTATATTGGGCCTAGGCATTTCTTTCAAGCCCTAGATCTCACCAGTAAAGTGCTTCTAGATACATCACTCTTCTCACCAGTTTTGTACAGTGATCACACACACAGGTTGGCTTTTTGCAAGGGAATACACCTCAAATGTCTTTATATTCAGATTTATAGCTTCAGGGCACATCACCACAAATTATTTCAAGTCTACAACATGAAAATCTACAGTACCAATTTACTTGTAGGTTTCAAAACTGCAATCCTATTCCAGGGCCTACTTGTCAGACTTGGCATTTTCTCCCCAAATCCCTAAAAATATTAATACCGCAATGAAATATAGCATCAAATGGGCAAGAAAAAAAGACCTGTAGTGGAGAGCTGGGACTCAAAAAACATTAAACATTCACAGTAACTGAAGCTGAAACTATAAACAATTAGTAAGGTATTTGGTGCATTGAAACCCACACAATGAATCAAACTTGCAACAGCCAGTTAATGATCTCATTTACCGTGGGCTAGCTGACTGACAAGGATCACCTCACAGGACAAAAATCACAATGCATTCAGGGCACGTAGATGTAAGCTGCTCACTCTATCATTGATACTCCAGTTTTAGCACTTAAAAAATCTCACACCAAGATTTCAGTCTAAACTCCCTGTTTACAGATTGAGAAACTGATACCCATAAGTGTGATTAAACTGTTTTGCTAATTCAGTAGTCTTAGCATGCAGCTTATATGTGAAGTTGAGGAATACGTGGAGTGTTATGAAAAAAGGAGAAACCTATTCAGCTTCCGATTTTAGGAATGGATCATTTTCAAAAGGTCAAGTTCTAATTTAAACTGTATGCATTTTACTGAGAATAACCACTCAACAATCTGTTCACTTACGCCTCTTAACCCATTCCTTACAGTGTCATCCATCTTCAGTTAATCTGAACAAGACATTGACACACAGTTAAGACTTCATTGAGAAACAGTTCCATCAAAATCAGGTTTAAGGGGGTAAGTATTTGGTATAGGGTTTAAAAACAGAAAACAAACCTCAAGGGAACCAAAAAGAACTAGAGAATTAAGATCAGTAATGTTTGCTCATTCATCTAGTAGTTCGTATAATTAGCCCTTGACTTCTTTTGAAGTAGTTTTCTGGTAGGCACCCTGAATTTAGTGGCTTGGCCCAAACCTACATTCCATTTTGAATTGGTCCCAACATAAAGCTAGTCTTACCCTCCTTACCTATGGAAAATATTATTATTCCTGGAATGATTCCTCCAGCATCATAAAATTTGTTGAAAAATTTAGAGTTAAAAGTGAAATGCGGTCACACAGCCACATGATCGGTCTCCTTTGTCCTCTTCCTACTAAAACCTTCACATTTCCTTTTGGTAGCTATCAACAGGCCATGCTCAACATCCTCACAGGTGAGATTAGCATGTCGGGCAACATATATAACCCCAACCAATGTGTGCTTAACAAGAACATCTAGACGTTTGGGTTCCTGCTCAAGGCTGCTCAGCACTGACCTTTAGAATATAGCAGTCAGAAGTCATTTCAATTTCCACAGATCTAAGCCCCAGGACAAAATGTCAGCCTATGGTGTCTATAAATCATTTGAATATGTTTAAAGTATACTTTCATATAAGCATTTGCATCAGTCCCTCCCCCCATCATCTTCAAAGAACTGAATTTGCTGCTTTCTTAGGTAATCCACTCACTTCACTGGTTTGCCTAGTTACCAAAAAAAGAAACGAAAAACCAACACACAATACCTAGTTACAGCTAACAAGAGCATTAGTTGCAGTACTAAATAGTGTGGCATTATAATTGTATGGGGTCTATCAACCATCTAGACACATTAGTTCCAAACCTTAAAGATCACTTATTTAAATAAAAGTCAAGAATATACATGTACTTCAGATATACTGAGATTAGTGATGTTTTCTACCTTCTGCAAAGGCGCATATCCACACACTTCTGAACTAGCAATTATTACTAAAGAACTGAGACATGATTCTTTTAAAGCCTCCCTAAATTAGCTCTCAATACTTTAAACCTTTAAACCTTTAGTACACCAGTTAGAATCACTTTTGGTCCAATTTACCTCATATTCACATACCAAATTGGGCTGTTGAAAACATTACATGCAGGAGAGGAAGATCAAGTTTCATAAACTCTCACAAAAAAGAAAACACTCCAGTGTGGGAGCCAGCCCCCCAAGATGGCTCCCAATGATGCTTGCTTCTTGGCAATCACGCAAGTTAAACATTCCCACATTGCTGACCATTAGAATACAAGACAGTGTGACTTTAGATAAACATTGGTCATATTTTGAGGCGGCTTCTTGTTGCTCTTGGGATAGCTCACTAAGGAGGAAGGAAATAGCTACCAGTTCCAACCCAGTCAGTAGGGTATTCTGGATGCAAATTTTCCAGTTCCAATCACGTTTTCCCTGACTGCGACCTTGAGCTTCAGCCAGAATCAGAACTAAGTTTCTTGTTAACCCACAAATAACTGTGTGAAGGAACAAGTTTATTGTTGCTCTAAACTGCTAAGTATTGACCTAATGTGTTATGCAGCAGTAACAGTTAAGCCTGCGAAGAAAATATAATTTCCTATACTAACGGTAGTTATTTCCCTTAGAACACCCTAGTTATACAAAACTACCTAAAATCCCCATTTCTAAAAAACAAAATTAACAGCTCAGTATACAACATACACACATGGGAAAAATGCCTATGTTGAATATTAAACATTACCATGTTTCAGTAAGCCAGTTTATTTCTGCTTATTATGCATTATTGAATTTTATCCCTGTTATCTGTGCTAGTTAATGGTTGGGTATTGTAAGGTTGTGTCGTTTTATCAACTTTTATTATCTTCGAAGTTCACCTTCTCTGTAAAGCTAGACATTTTTAAAACCTTCAAAATTAGTTTTCTAATAAATTTGAAGTATTCTAACATGTTTATAATTGGTAGATACAGCTATTTTATAGAACACAGCTCATCTTCTGCCCAGCCATCATTAGTGTGACTTACCTGTAAGATACCTCATATTATGAAAACTAAAACTGTAGTTTAAATACATCAACCTTACTATGTTTCTTTCCTGCTATTTTTCTGGTTTCTTTCATTATTCCACATAAATGTCCAAGAAAATCACTGCTTGGTATTCAATTTTATCCTCATGTTTAACCCGTTAAAAAGACAACCACTGATTCTAAGTGTAAAACATGTAATACAACTAATTGACATTTGAGAAACTAATGACAGATTTTGTCTCAGTGCTTTGCATAGCCACCTCATTTGTATCATTCTAGCTGGTTAAAATCTGTAGTGATTTTAAAAACGCCACTAGCAATGTTAAACATACACGATAAAGCCAGAAAACTATAGCAGTATTCAAACGCTGAATATACAGTGTATCAAGAATGGCATTTTATTAGGACAGCCAATAATGTCCACAATGCTTTTCTCATGTCTATTAATACTGTAAGAAAAATGGCAATATGCATTGCTTTGTGAAACTGCTTTAAAAGTCTAGGGGATGGCAATCCTTTAGACAACTGAATGTTTATAAAACAAGATTCACACATTTTATGTGTAAACATTACACCAAGTATTTGGATACAAAAGTATTTATTTTATAAACTTTATATTTAAAATAAAATTTTAATCTGTCTACTCACAAAACCTAATTTAAAACATGATACATTTCTCTCTAACCAATTTGATGTTACTCTTTTACAAACAATACTCAATTTGTAATTGTTTTATATTAAGAACCTGTACTAAATGAAGTTTGTATTTTATCAGAAAACATTTCCCTTTAATCTTAAAGAGTGCTTTTTTTAAATGAAGGCACCAACAAGAACTACTTTCAGATGGTACAGAATTTCTTATTTCTTGAAGACTCTGTGGTTGACCACTTCTTCATTAGTTACCTGCAGCAAGACACCTTCCTGCCAAAGGAAAAAAAAAGTATCTG